AGGATGTTAGTATTTACATGCTGGAAGCCTTGTTTAATGGCCAAAGTGGCCTTGATCAATGCTTTGTGAAAACGTTGGGATTCAAATATTATGTTTAGTAATTAGTACAGAAAATGGATCGGATTTTGTCTTATTAGAATTCAAGTTCAATTTCTTTAAGTTTGATTTGGATAACCCTTTGACCAAAGTTCGATTGAAAGAAAAATGTATATGACTTGCTTATTAATTGAATTGATCCAAGTGTGTATGTAAAAGGTCATTATTTTGGCATTTAGTATAAGGTTCAGGATTTGGGATTTAGATAAATTTATTTTTCATTTAGATTATGTTTGGTTTGAAGGAAAATGTAGGGAAAGGAAAGGAAAGAAAAAGTAGGAAGATCTTTACAAATCTTGTATTGGTTTTCCTGTCTTTCCCTTTCTTTCTCTATCTTTTCCTTCAAACCAAATATAGCTTTAAAGTATGCATTTTTTGGTGAAACAAAAATCCTTAACCGGCCCCTTATACAAGATGATGATGAATTCAAATGGACTCCTCACGAAGTAAACCCCACACCCCTTCCCTTAATGCATTGGGAATATCTCCCGTACTTGTCATGGGGAGATGTTTCCAAATCACAGTGGGGATGGGTTATGGCTTGTAGCTAGCTGGTAAGTTGTTTCACCATTGTCCTATTCGATATAATTAGATTCAATTCAATTTAAATATACGTGTTAATATATAAATAAATTTATATTTTATCTATTAGTAACATTGATTTAGGTGTTTTGTTCTTACTAAATTTTCTAGGCTGAATTTTTATATAAGTAACTAGCGGGGACCCGTGCGATGCACGGGATTTATTAAGCGAAAGCTAAATAATAGAAAGGGTCATTTACTAAAATACCCCTTATAGTTTCATGGATTTAATAAAATCTACCATATAGTTCAAATTTTACTAAAGCACCACTTATAATTTGCAATGGATTTAATCAATCTTCCATTAGATATTAGTGGAAAATGACATTGTTGACCCTGATGTTCATTTAAATAAATTTAATCAAAAGAAAATAAAAATAAAAATAAAAATACCATTTTTGCCATTTATAAGACACGGACGACCACTCTATTGGCTATATTTGGTTAATTTTGTTTTCTATACAAAAAAAAGTATTAACGGTATTTTTGGAATAAAAAAACATGGGCCAAATGGCAAAACAATCACTCCTTAATGAAAGGTTGATTAAATAAATAAGTTGTAAAATATATGGGATGTTTTAATAAAATGAAAACTATAAAGTAGGTTTAAGTAAATATATAAAACTATAAGATGTGTTCTAGTAAATGAACCTAATAGAATCACATGAGAGTATACAATTGTTTTATATTTTCAACTTTTTAAATAATTAATAATTATTCATATTTTATATACTACTTTTAATATTTTGTTATAATACAAAATAACAATAATTAATTTTAGTTAGGTTTATTAATCAAACTGATGAAACCGATCAACTCGACCCAAATTGGTCGGTTTCCTAGTATTTTAGGTCGGCTTTGGTTCAAAATTTTCCCAATTCAACCAAATTGGATCAATTTCACTTTGGCCATTTATAAACCAACCAAAATCAAACGACCTAACCATGGATATGTATTAATATTTGTATTTTAAATATAATTTTTAATATGGAAAAGTTGAAAATTTCCCATATTTCTTAGTCTAAAATGTTTTATATCATAAATCTAATTTTTAAATTTATTTTTTAATAATTACACTATAATTTTTAAAATTAAATTAAAATTTTAAGTTTAAATCTTTTGAACCAACTGACCAAACCAAAAAATCGACCCAAATTGATAAAACTTGAGTGGGTCAGTTTTCACAAAAGGTCAATCAGTTTCGATTGACCAACTACCCAACTTGACTAAATGAATTTGGTTGGCCAAATAGCTTACAACCGAGCCGAACCAACTCATGACCACTCATAGTTTCATATAAATTAATAGTCTCATCCCTGATAAATAACAATAGTTTAATCTCCAATAATTATTGAAAATTTATAACAAAAATACACAATTATTGAAAATATATTGATAATGAAAAAATACAATAATTACAAAAATACAATAAGTACTAAAAATATATTAACTWAGTYAATAAATADTATAATCTCAAATAATAGTTTAATCTCTAATAAATATTAATCAATAAGTTATAACAAAACTATAATAATTATAATAAATACAATAAATTAAATTTAAAAAATTCACTAAT